GCTACAGGATGGGTTACTTTTCTGCTACACTGGTTTTCCTCTCCCAAAACAGCATGTATTTCTGCTGCTCTCTTTCTGGACCATGTTCTCCCTTCCCCCTCTGACTTGCCAGGAACTTTATCGATACCAGCACACTGCTGTCATCATTGTGCTCCTGGCACCCTGCTCCCTGTCTTGGTTTATTGATTATACAGCACACATCAGTTTTCAAATTAATTTGTCTTTACGTGTTATCATTTAGCTTAACGTTTAGCAGATATTAAGTACAAGAATTTGCCAATATTTCAGAGATCCAAAATAATTTAGCTGAGTTTAGTTAGCAAGTTCACATCTTCTTACACATCCTCACACTATTGATTTCCTGCAGCCTGCCAGCACCACAAATGCCTGTTCTAAGGGATGCTCACTCCTGTGCTGCTGTCTAAATCACACTAATGACCCCAAAATGAGGGCCTCAAAAGCAAAAGCACTCCCTCCAGTCTGAAACCCTCATACTCAGGGCTCAGCAGTCACACTATTCCTGTTATGGATTGAAAATGAAGTGAACGGGGTTTTTTAAAGTTATTTGAAGGTGCAAGTTTCTGCCCAAAGCTGAAATTACACCATCCCCACCTGCTACAGGGCTGACAGGACACTGTAGGAATAACCTGCTCATCCTGGACACAACCTGTGCTTTCCATATGAATGCATTCCTCATGAGCTGAGCCAGATAAACATGCAGAGGTGCATCCTTTGGTAAGAACGGCACTGGAACTGCAGACTTCCAGCCACAAATCACACTTCCCCACGCAGCTGCTGGAGAAACAGGACCCAACAGCAGCGCTTCATCTCCATCCCTGCTGCCACGGAGGCAGAGAAAGCAGAAGCTTGCCCAAGTACAAGCCTACTTTAGCAGATGCTGGGTACCTCCACTTCAGCACAGCAAACAAAAACAAGCTGCTGCTCAAGTGCGGTGCAGGCAGGGAAATAGGATTTACGTCATTTGAACAGTCTGTCTTAGTAAAGGACATCTCTGGAGGGAGAAAAATCCAAGCCCTGCTGGTCTCTACACTAATGCAATGTCTGGTCTGCTGCTGAGGCTGTGTGCAGGGCAGCTCCCAGTGCCGGCAGCGACAGGCCAAGTCACAAGCTCGGTTTATGTAGGGCACAACACAGCCTTCACATGTGACTGTCACCAGAGCAACAACTTCAGCTACTCCACTGCTCCCAGCACACCTCGCCCAGCCCTACAGCGTCTCCCAGACACTCTGGGGGTGGCTTACAGCTCCAACCCGGGGATGTCGTGCCTCAGAGAATAAAACCAGCCCTAGATCCATGTAAAATAAATCAGCCAGGCCAGGTGCAGAATTCAGACCAAGCTGCAAAAAAACCAGCCCCTTCAAACTGTTCTTAGCAGACAACTCTGCTCTCCCTCCTCTTCAGCCTCTCACCACACACTTTCTCTGTGGAAAAGCAGCAGTTTTTAACTTGATTAAGGTAAGTACAAACATCCCTCCCGAAGCTGTGAGGGGACAGTGTTGACTTCTCAGACACACAAAACTCTCCTTGTAGAAATGTGAGAAAATGCAATACATTTGGATGTACACCCAAACAAAATAAAAGCACATTATCAAATTACACCGGGGAGCTGAGCTCTAGAGGCTCTTGCTACTTCTAAAACGTTCAGTGAAAAGGAGCCACTCAAAATTAGTCTTATGCAACTCAGAGTTAAGCACCTTAATGAGTTAAACACCTACTATTATCTTCCTTGTGCTGATTCATTGCATCCAACAAAGCCTCGTAATCAACTATTCTCAATTCCACCAGTGCATTTTAATGTTGATTTGGTCTCAGCAAAGCATTGTAAAATTAATGAGACCACCCCAAAACCTTTTCTGGTCTGTCCTTGTAGGTTAAGGAGCACACCTACAGCTGCTCACCCAGCCCTCTGCTCCTCCCTCCATTCTTCCCTCAGCAACTGGCACAGAAGAAACTTTTTTCTACTCTGGAATTTTCTGAAAGTGAATAAACTAAATTATTTTAATATATTTATGTATTTATTTTATATATTTATTTATTATTGGACTGAGTGTCTTTCTTCCAGAATTCTATTCAGGTCTCATTAACAGTTCCCCTCCTCACAAGCTACAGAATTTCTACAACCACACCAGCTTTTCCAAATTATTTAAGCAGTATATTCCTTCCTGTAACAATTCCTTCCATTGTAACAACTAAAAACTTTTAGGACTTGTGGGGATTTTGTTGTTTGGTCATCAGGTTATTTTACTATATTTTATTAAGTATAAGACCTAACCATAACCATATTATCTCATATATTTTTTCCATACTTCCTTATATACAAGTCAACCACACTTGGCAATATGGAACCCCTGTCACAGCCACCTCACACAGGTGGAGCTGCTGCAGGACAGGAATCTAAGCAGTTTAGAAAAATTTTTCAAGTCAAGGTACAAGACAACTTCTAAAAGCCCTGGTGTATTTGACTAAGAGAAGCCCAGCTTCCTTTAAAAAGTATTCCATTCCTTTTAGCTCTGAAGTACAGAAGTGTCAGGAAGAGCAGGGGTCACTGCCCATTTCAGCATCACTGGCACCTGACACTGAACTTCAGCAAACAAGGGATCCTCGTGCCCCACCCAAACATCCCCAAGGTGAATGGGACAATTAGGTCTGAGGAAAATGAGGCTGAGTTTCTGAAAGCAAAGCTACAGAGCCCTGGAACCTGCAGGCTGGGCTGTCAGGAAGCTGAGGGAACCATGGGACTGCAAAAAGACTTTAAAACTAGGGTATTAGTCTCTATTTTCTAAGCTGGATACTTCCTCCATCTTTTGTATCCAGACAGAGAATAAACTGATGCCATGAGTGGTTCCTGTCCCTGCTCCTGGACAGCACCAGCCCCTGCCACAGCCCCTGTGCCGGGCCCCCGGGTGTAAACCCCCCCCATCCAGCCAGGCAGGGTCACCTGCAGGACACCCGAGGGAGGACAATTTTGGGGGAGGGGACAACAACAGGACTGCCTGGATGAAGGTGGCCCTGAAGCTGGGGCTCCCCAGGCAGGCACGTGGGCCAAGCGCCCGGCCAGATGCACAGGGCTAGCTCCCAGCTTCCCCACTAAGCCCCCAGGCTATGCCTCAAAGCAATACAACTCTGCCATAAATATCCCAGATTAATTCTGATCCCAGCATCAAATCCACTTAAGAGACTTAAAAGCCTCTGAGTCCCCAGAGCTGCCTGCCCAAGGAGGGCTATGCAAATGAGTCCTGGGCTGCAGAGGAGAAATATTATCAAACAAGGCAAGCCATTTGTACAATTTTGGTAATGTCGTTTGCAAGAGACAAATGGGACGAGATAGCTGAGTTGACATCTTGTACTACAAGCACAGCCACAAAAAACCTCGGGTACTGGACATGGATACTCAGGATAGGATTAGTGTAAATATTCCATGTTTTCTGGAAACAGCTCTTTCTCCTTAAGAGATTGATTGATTGATTGATTGATAAATGACAGCATGCTCTCCAGTTTATTAAAGGAGCTATTTAGTTTCAGAGAGACATCTCTGTTTATAAAAAAGCCTAAAGTGATTACCCCAGCATCACAGAAGAAAAAAAGCCTTGTTGACACTGACAGCAAGAAGGGCACTGGGGAAGTAGAGCCACTTCCCTTCCCAGTCTGCTCCCCTGGCCAGGGGCAAGGCTTGAGAACAGGAGCAGGCAAAGGGGACGCTGAGTGAGCAGCGACCCTTCTGAAGCCTCCACAGCAGCACTCCGAGAAAACGCTGCTTCGGACCAGGACCCCCGACTCCGAGCACAGCAGCAGCAGCAGCAGCAGCACTTCCACCCTGCCGGCGGCAGCTCCCGGCAGCCGGGGCAGCTGCCGGGATATCCCAGCCCGTCCCTGCTCTCCGGAGGGAGAGGCAGCCGAGCCCAGCGGAGCTGCCAGAGCCGCTGCTCCCGAGCGAGCCAGCGGTGCTTGGATGTGCTCGGGATGCATCGCAGGTATCCCTCCCGGGAGCAGGGCCGGGGCTCTCCATCCCTCCCTCCCTCCGGCGATGCCGTATCCCGCATCCCGGAGGCTGGCTGCGGCCGGGAGCCGCCGCGTCTGTATTTATAAACCTAAGGAATTCCAGCGCAGCGGATCACAAACAGCGCATTGTGCTGTGTCAAGCAGCGAAGTGGGCTCCTAATCGCATGCATGCTTTTCCCACTCTGCTCCGGGAAAAGCCAAGCCTTAAATACTTTTCCAGAAGTAAAACCATACCGGGGAAGCGCAGCCCAAGATAGTTCTTGCTATTCCCGAATCCCTGCTGCTTCGGAACCGCGCAACTAAGCGGATTTCCCAGCGCTGGGGAAACGCAGACGATTAATTACGGCTTAGAGAGGCTGGAATAGATGAGGCGGCCGGGACCGAAGGCGGCCCGGACCGGGCGAGCTGGCGCTGGCCCGGGCCAGCCTGGCAAGTGGCGAGCGGCCAATGTTTACTGACCCTTGGCCGGGTCACTTTCGATAGCGGCCGGAGCCAAGGGCCCCTCCTCGGGAGCGCCGCGGGGCATCTGAATAGCCTCGGTCCCCACGGCGCTCGGACCGGCAGCGAACACGCTACAGGGAGAAGGGCAGGGCTAGCCGCGCTGCTCCCGGCGCCCCACAACCGCGGCTCTGTCCGGGGCATCCCCCGAGCGCCAGGGCGGCCGTGGCTGCAGGGACAGCCGTGGGCACAGTGGGCTGGGCAGCCGGGGAGCCCCGGCTCGAAACCCCCCCGGGACCCAGGCCAGGGAGCTAGTGAGACACGGGCACCCGCACGGGCTGGGGTACAGAGGCTGGGGCCACCCATCCGCACCCCATGGCTGTCCCCCGAGCAGCCCGGGGCTCGCCCCGGGACACACCCCGCAGGGAGTCCCGCTGCTTCCAGCTTCGGGCAGCCGAAGGCAGGAGAGGAAAGGGAAGGGAAACCCCGCTAGGGGAACCCCTTCCGCAAAAAGGGGGCAAAGAAAGGAGGACAGCGCTTACTTCTCGTGCCTGGCGTTTTCCTGGATGGCGCTCAGCACCCCCGGGGGCGCAGGAGGGATACCCTGCTGGAGCCGGCATGTGGCCAGGTGCCGGTGATGCTCGTCCTGAAGGCAGGCATTTTCGTGGTACAACTTGGCCACTTGCTGCTCCAGCTCGTCTATCCTCCGCTTCTGCTTCTCCAGCAGCTCCTGCTGCGTCTCGATAATCTTGTTCAGCTCCTTCAGGTACTCGGCCGCCTTGCTGGGGTTCTCGCCGGGGCTCTCCATGGCCGCCCCGCACCTCAGCGGCGCGGGGGGGACAGGCGCCGGCCAGCGCGCTCCGCTGGCAACTTAAGGGAGAGGGGAGGAATAAATACCCCGGCGGAAAGCGGCGCCCCGCGGCCCCGCCAGTCTCCTCCTAGAGCCGCGGCTGCCCGGGCGGGCGGCGGCCCCGCGCCGCCATTGCTGCCGCTCGGCCCCCGCCGCCGAGCGAGGGCAGGGCCGGGGGAGCCGGAGCCGCCACCGGAGCTGCCCGGCGCTGTCCCCGTGTCCGTCCCGCCCTGCCCGCGCCGCAGCCGGGCTCGCCCGTCGCCTGGCAGCGCCCAGCGCCCCCGCCGCGCTCGGAGCCGGGCAGGGGCACGGGCCGTCCCTGCGCCGGGTCCGCCGCTCCCCGCCTCCCCCGCCGTGGCCGCCGCCGCCGGGATGCGCTTAAGTAAGGGCGGCCGCTCCTCCGGGAGGCCGGCGTGGGCTCGGCGAGCGCCCCATCCCCGCGCCCCATCCTTCATCCCATCCCCGCGCCCCATCCTTCATCCCATCCCCGCGCCCCATCCCCGCGCCCCATCCCCGCGCCCCATCCCCGCGCCCCATCCCCGCATCCCATCCCCGTATCCCATCCCCGTATCCCATCCCCGTATCCCATCCCTGCGCGGCCCCGGCCCCGTTCCCCGCGGCGGGGAGAGCCCCGGGAGAGGTGCGGGAGCTCTCGGGAGCGGGGCCCCGGTGCGGCGCGGGGAGCAGCGCGCTGTGCGCGGAGGCAGGCGGGGACCCGGCCTGCGGGACCAGAGCTGTCCCTGCCACATGTGGGGAGCGGGGCTCCCGAAGCGGGGGTGGCAGCGGGGGTGGCCCCCCGAGCCGGGCGCCCCAGCAGCACGCGCCAAGTCAGGCAGCTGAGCCCTCCGCCTCTCCTGTCAGCATCCCTGGCGTTAAAACCTCTGTTGGTGAAATGCTGCTTCCCGCTAAGGCTGCATCAAGCCAAGAAAAGTTGCTGAGGTTTTGGGTCCTGTATCATCCCAAGTGTATGTTGGGAATGCTTGTGAGAACCGGGAGTAGAAAAGGGAAACGGGGAGATACTGCAGGAAGAAGATAGGAAGGTGAAGACGTGTTTTTCTCCTCACTTCCTCTGTATGTCTCCTTAACTTTTTTTTTTTTCCTAATTTTTCTACCTCTTCTCTCCACCCTTCCACTTTTCAAGTGTACAATTGATAAAATTTTCTTAGAGGGATTGTTCTTCTGTCACTGACGCCCCGACCCTTCGTGGTGGAGTCAACTCTTTCTCACCTTTGCCAGGATGCGCCTTGGCTTCAGGAGCGCGGGGCGAGGAGCCCCCGCTCCTGGGGAGGCTGCGGGCTCCGCATTGTCCCCATCTGTGCTGGGCAGGTTTGGGAACGGAGCTCCCAAAGCACAGGCTGTCTGTCCCAGCGTCTCCCTCTCTGCCTCTCACAGTCACCAGGGAGAAAAGGGGCGTGAGGGGAGGATTCAGCCACAGCCAGACCAGTCTGGCATTTACCAGGGTCATTCTGGCTTTAGGCAGAAATAAGTTATTGGGAAACTGTTACTTTTGCTCTGACACCAGTGCAGCGAAGGGATGTTGTGACTGTCGAGGTGTCTGAGGCATGAAAGACTAATTTCCAGTCCTAGTGGGGATCCTGACTTCACAGACACATCTTTAGCTGCCCTCTGAAGAGACCAAGCCTCCTTCCCAGGAACTTGATTAATATTTTTCATTAGAATTCTTGAAAATATTATTTTTCTGAATACTAATCATTCAGAATGTATTTGCTAAAGTGCAGTTCGCTCTGCTCTGTGTAGAAAGAAATGCTTATCATGATACCTCTCTGAGGAAACCTTCACAGTAGCACACAGCCAGACTATTTGTCAGGGGTTAAATCAATAAATAAAGTAAGTGAACTTGCTTCTTATATGCAAAATAAAATGCAAAGTAAGAGATTCAAAACTCATTGAAGTATGTGCAAACAATAAAAGCTTATTAAGCATTTCACAGCAAGGACAGTGTAAGTGGAGCAGCACAGCTCCTACAGCAAGGATCTATTTGAAGCACCCCTTTTTAGGCAGAAGTACCCAAGTTCATGGGACCTATGAGCACTGCTGAGGGAGGCAGGAGCCGTGTTAAGGGTGAGAGTTTCCTGCTTTCTTTTCCTGATTCAGGGAAAAGCCTCCATCCCCGAATGGAAAGCTGTGTCTCACTCAGCTCCGAGCCGCAGTGGCTGAGCTGAGCAGGGAGTGATGACTCCTGGAGAGACTGGCTGCTCCAAGTTCTCTGCCTGATTTTGGGGGGGGTTTTCTCTGAGGATCCCAGGAATGAGATCACCAACCTGACCTGCCCAGCTGCTTGTGCTTTCCCACAGAGGGCACGGAGCAAATCAAACCTGCTGACAACCCTTTCCACAGGAAACCATGAATTAGCCTGAAAAATACATTAAACCCTCAGACGTGCCCTTGGCTTGGCATCTGGAGCCTGCACCGTGTTCCTGGTGTGTTCTGGATGTTGCTGCTGCTCAGCACTGAAAGAGGAAGGAGGACTCTATGTCTCAGGGATCTCTGCCCCTCCAAAAGCCTGTGTGCTCCACCAGGCACTGTGGATTAACAAGGAGGGGTAAACTTAGAAGATAAGCACATTCATAGAATCAATAATATATTCAATCTCTGTCTGTGAAGACACAGATTGTAAAAGCAGACCCAGCTTGTTCAGATTTGCTCAGTTAGAAAATTAAGTGACATCAAGCCTAACCTTTTAAAATATGAAAATTATCAAAAAATAGCATTCTTATTACTTGCTAACATCCTACCTCAGACTGTCCCTTTCCATAAGCTACGCAACACATGGTTAATTCTTGCCTGGGAAAGTGCCAGGGAAGATTTAAATATGAAAGGGGATGTTGCTCATTCAGTAAGTAGGATTCTCTTACTCATTTATTATTGGCAAGAGATAAATCACAGAGAGGCTGGGGCTGGAAGGGACCTCTGGAGGTCATCCAGTCCAACTTCCCTGCTAAAATAGCCCATTACCCTTTGGGAAAACCTTAAAGTGTCTTGAGTTTTGGTGTTTTCTGGCAAATCAATACCCTACAGAGGACCCTTTTTGAATGTTCAGTCTGGTCCAGACTTAGTCACATCCATGGTGCTCACAAGCTTATGTGCTGTTTGATGCTCACCAGAGATCAGGCACAATCCTGGTCCTTGAGCCTGCCAGAGCTTGAGGAGGGTTTGGACAAGACTCTCAGGGATGCACAGGGTGGGATTATTGGGGGGTCTGTGCAGGGCCAGGGGTTGGCCTGGATGATCCCTGGGGGTCCCTTCCTGTTCTGTGTTTACCTGTCCTGTTCTGAGAGCCTGGCTCTTGCACTTGCTGCCTAGCTTGAGTGGTCTGTCAGTTTAAATTTATAGTTTTGTGTAGAGGCTGAGCATGACATGACACTGTTTCAGAAATGTTTTGGTGTGGCTGATAAGGCCGTGGGTAAGCAAACAGCTGAAATAATTTTTTTCAAAGGAAGATAAGAGCAGGAAAAACCCTGTGATACATATTTTTCTATGTAAAATTAATTAGGTCAGTGTAATATAAAAAAACAAGGATCCAGAAGTCATGCAGTGATTTGTGCTCAATCTTAACTCTGCCCTCCATCTCTCGCTTTTAAAATTCTCTCTTAAAATTCTCTCTCTTTCTTGGTCGCGTTTCTCTCTTATTTCCCTCCAAGTCCCCTTAAATCTCTGCCTCACTTCTTGGTTCTGCTGCTGTGTTTAGATACCAAGGAATTTTATCCTGCAATTCAAGTTTATCCTGTTGTTAGAATTTATATGTAGGTCACAGAACTCACAAATGGTTTGGGTTGGAGGGACCTCAAAGCCCATCCAGTGCCACCCTTGCCATGGCAGGGACACCTTCCACTGTCCCAGGCTGCTCCAAGCCCTGTCCAGCCTGGCCTTGGGCACTGCCAGGGATCCAGGGGCAGCCACAGCTGCTCTGGGCACCCTGTGCCAGGGCCTGCCCACCCTCACAGCCAGGAGTTCATTCTAAATCTCATGTCAATGTCTCCTCTTTCGGTTTTAGTTCTGAGCCCCTTTCACACCCTGTAGTTAAAGTATGTGTCCCCTCCTTGTGTCCTAAGGCAGGACAAATGTTCTGCTCTCATTCTGTGTGCTCACCACACACCCAGCGGTGCCTGCTCCTCTTCTGGATGAGCTGGATAATACCAGAAAAACCGACATTCTGGGGGGCCCATTTGCTGGTCTCTTTGGAGATTCCTGGAGGAAAGAAGGAAATAGGAATCCCACTGCTGAGCAGGAGCATGGCCCCCATAAGCCAGTAATGCCTGCGAGATGAGCCCTGAGTCTGAAGTATTAAATAAAAAAAAGGAGAAAGCACAGCCATAAAGACCTGAAATCTTTTAGGAACTGTGATGTTTCTGGTTTTTTCCCCGTCCTGGTTAAACATAATGCACTTTTAAGACCTGACATCTTATTCCTCTTAACAGTTTATTTGATTTCTACTTAAAGGCATGAAATTTCCTCATGCCTTTTCCTACCACAAATCTTTTTTGTGATAAGCTCTTGTAAAATATGATCATATTAGACTTTTTCCTTAGTTAAATGGAATGTATTTAGGCTTGAACTATGTAACTTAGACCCCTCCTCTAAAAAGGGAGAATACCTGACTCAGTCTCAGGACCCTCCTGGCTTTCTCCGCCCCACAGTGCCTGTCTGGCTTGGATGATGCTTAGAGAATAAGGCTGTTCTTACCCTGACCAGCTCCTAAAGTATTTGAAATATCCCAAACTAAGCATGGTAAAATTACAGGCCATATTTTAAGGTATCTCCACGAGGCAGTAGTAAGTTCAGTTTTATTTTTCTGAGTAGACTGATCATTACTGTTTGTAGGAATTGCCTTTTGATTTATGAAAGAAGTGATAAATTGGCTCCTCCAGGTTCTGTAGCTGAATCTGGAGGCTTGCCTGCAAAGTGTGGTCCAGACTTAATCCATCTAAGTATGCAACTTTAACCAAGCCTTCATTCTAATGAACCTTTCATAAAAGATTTCCTTTGTGCTTTTGTT